AATAGCTCAGATTTAATATTCACTGTCTATTTCCTGATTTGGGTATCGATCTATAATTGGATCTAAAAATGTGCAAACGAAGAAATTTGATTTCAGCTTTCAGAATATGACTGAATTATATAGAGAATTAAATTGATGTTCAGATTCGTTGCAAAACTGTTTTTGAGATTTGATAACTCGCACTGCGTTATGGATAGAGATTGTTTGGAAGACACTCTGAAGTGCTTTATAGCGCAAATAAGTCATGTCATATAAACTCGGTTTTGATGTAATAAGCAGGTGAAGTAAAGATGGGAACTCAAGGAAATAATAAAGCTGTAAGTTAATTGAGTCATTACTGCAAGTTTGTGAGCTATTTTGCGATGGATCAGTACACAAGTCATTTAAATAGTGATTTTTTACTGACATGCAAAGTAGCTAACTAATGTTCAAACTCATTCATTTTCATGGTCTTGCGGTAACTGACACCAAACACAATTTTTTTTCTAGATTAGATCACGAAGTTACGGTAATAAATATTTGTAATCTTTACTCCTACAAGTAGACAAGGGTAAAATTTAATGACTGACCCAAAAAGACGATTTCAAATATTGCTCAAATATTTATGCCTAATTTTTTTCACAGAATACTTCATTAAATTCTAATGAACAAATCAAGAAATATCAAATAGAAACGGAACAATACAGCGGGTCAGAGTTTAGTGGATAAGATTTTGCCGTGCTTGTAAATGTTTGCCATTTGTGTGGCTTGAATTTATTTTTGAAAATATGAAAAGTTATTACTAATTTCTATATAAATTTTTTCAGTAGTAGAAGAGACAATATTTTTAAAAAAATAACCAAACAAGTAATTCTGAAAGATAATTCAGAAGGAAAAGTTCGGAAGATTGTATTTTGAACATGCAAAAAAGCATTTTAAAAATTTAGGCTTAGGGTAACAACGCTTATGTTTATGCTTTCAATTTTTCATAGCATTATAGCTTTCCATTTGATTACAAAATGAATACAATTTATAATATTTGCGTAAATTTTATGTGCATTATTTATGCAAAATTTACACGCGAAGAAAAGTTTTTGCAGATCTTTTTTGTATAGCTTGAGTTCATATTTATATGTAAAATTAATTTTAGACTCTTTATTAATTTTAGCTTCCAAGATTAATTCTTTTCGTTAATTTTTTTTCTCTTTGAAAGCCTAAAGCTATGAACTACAAAATTTCAAAGGAAACACAAGAGTATTATGAGGAGCCAACAAGGTTGAAACTTGAATGTAAATCTAAAACATGTAGAACTAACTTTTCAAAAAAGTTTCAAGAAGTATTTTTTAGCAAGCAAAAGTTTTCCTTAAAGATATGAATTCTGATGAATATTTTTGTATTTCATTGTACAGTATCGGTACAAATTTTTAAGCCAGTTAAGCTTGAAAGTGAGTTTATTGGATTATTTTAAGAAATTATTTTTGATCTTAGTGTACTTTGTGTTACGGTAAAGGCACAGAGAAAATCGGCAGTAAAAGTAAATGCAAAAGCTAACTGTAATTGAAATGTCAACATATTTATTGTTAGGTAATGTGAACTGTAAGTACAGCCAAAAAATTAACTACGCTATAATTGGATAGCATTTGCAGAGAGACACAATAACTAAGTTCAGACTGAGGTCACTTGCAAGGGCAAGGGGGTCACAGAGTTAACTGACATGTGGTCACATGCTTATTGGCACGATCATATTTCTGAGCTACAGTAACTGAATGGATGTGATATGAGTGTAATGAAGTTTGACTATGAATACATTAATCGTGAAATATGCGCATATTGTATACAGCCAATAGCCCCAAAAAAATAGATTTGTCGTTTTTGGGTTGATGTATTGATTTATTCACACATTATGTATGTAGCTTATCAGCCTAATCATTTACAGATAAATAAATCATTTACGAATAGTACCGTATCTTTGTCACATATTAATCTTTTTAATTCAACTACATTATTTTGGGAACAATTTTATTTCGATTACAGCGGAATTGATACTTTCTCTAAATTAAGAATTAATTGATTGACTGATTTGTTAGGTAATCTTTCAAGCATTAGTTCTTCTTGGTTGCTTCGATTTACTCAAGAAATCTATAGTTCAGTAGCATCAACCAATGATATGCAAATCGTTAGTTAACATATGAAAATATTTAACCCTTTGCATAGCATCCATCGTTTATGATACTATCGTAGTTCATTTCCTTTTCAAAACTTGTACAAATATCGCCATGCACTTACATTTCCCTCCATATTTATTGACCAATGATTTGCGTGCACCTTCTAACTTTGTCGCTTATTATTGCTATATCTTATAGTAACCGTAGTTCATTTTCTTCTCACCGTTTAATTACGTTAGTTATCACTATAAATACAAAAGTAAAATATGATGTGGGAGTAATTATAGTACTGTATTAGTGTTACAGTAATGATTTGTATAGCTTGTAAGTCAGATTACTTTTTTTTGTTGCCATTTTTCAGTATAAGAGTTTAATCAGTTCATAAATAGCATTGCAATATTTATTCTGAAAAACTTTGATAAAGGCATCATAATGAAATGATTTGAAGGATAAAAGAAAGTATATTTCCTTGAAACACTATACAGTATACCAAATTATAGACTACAGTAATTTATAGCAATCAGAAAGTTGTCTTACAGAGATTAAAAAAAATAAATCGATGCCTGTGAAGAATTTACCGTTACTATATGATATAGTAATAATAAGCGAGAGAGTCAGAATAAGGTGCACGCAAATCATTGGTCAATAAATACGGAGGGAAATGTAAGTGCATGGCGGTATTTGTACAAGTTCCATACACATGCAGTAATTACAGTTATTGTTTCAAATGAAACCAGTGCAGATGTGAAACTGGTACAAAAGTATTTTACGTGTGGTATAAATACCGCTCTTGATTGAGTTTCTAAATGACACTGAAATCAAAAAATGGAAACACTACTATGTCATATTAAAAAATCATAGTTCACTATAAAATTTTAATTATTTTTAAAAACCAGAGTAAAAAACACCTCAATTATTAATTTATTTACAGTTAAAGAAATATGCATTTTGATCAAATAAATAAATAAATGTCAGAAAATCAAAAATGTATTATTTTGCTGAACGTTAAAAAATTTTCTATAATGCGTTAAGCAAATTAAAAATATGCATATCTTAATTTCTGTCCATTTTCTTAAGTCATTAATTTTTGATTCGAAATTTTTTAATGACCTAAAATAGATTCAAAAGGGATATTAAAAAGCCAAGTTTATTCCTTAATATTTGAAGTGATCATAACTTCGCAGTAAAATTTGAACATACTGCTTACTTTATACATTGGGATTTACTGGTTGTATGAAAATGAATAGACTTGTTATGGCAATTTAAAATAACTTTCTGATGTGCTTTTGCTATGAATATAAGAATAGTATAATTTTTTTAATAACGAAAGTTAGAAAACGATACAATATGGTGAGAAATATTAGTTTTATTATGAATTAATGCTTGTTATATTGCAATAATGAATGTTAGCAGAAAATGACTTTATTAATTAATAACTCTACTAATTTTATTAATGTCAAACGATTGACATTTGCGTTAGTATAAAACTGTATTAGTATTTTGTTATGGTCTACTTTGACCTTAGCTGTATGTTAACTCAAGTATTATCTTTCATTTAAGCTTTATTACTCACATTAATAGAGTACTTTCTGACTTTGCAACTTGCGTTTGCTTAAACTGAAACGATCTCTAGTTTTATTTATTAAAAAAAATAAATTTTGGCAAAGTTAGCTTTCTTTAGCTAATTTACATTTTTCTAAAGCAAGAAAGCTTGTCAGTCTGAAGCATTAAGTTGCTTGCAATTTATAATTTTCACAATGGTTGTTTTTATACCTTTTTAGTCATTAATTTTATCCTGCATTATTGAAAATGACGAAGAAAATACTGTTTTTGCATAAATATAAGAGACATCATGGTCGAATCAACTTTGCGGAAGTGCTTTTAAATATTTGTGTATCCTAGCACGATTGCCTTTGCACAATAGATAAGTTCAATGTGATGGTAAAATTTTTATGGTATGCAAGTATTTTAGTCAATTATTTGATTTTTTATCTGGTTTATGGGGGGATTTACTGGTTGTTTTTTGTGTCGGGGTTTTTACCTTAACGATCTCATCATTTAAGGTCGTTCTCTTTGGGAAATTGCGTAGCATATAAAGTGTATCACGTAAAATGTAGGGAAAAATGTAACACGTATGTGTGATAGAAAGAATTTATTACTGATTGCATTGAAAAAATAAAAAAAATGCGAATCGGAAATTGCAAGTCGTCGTATTTCGTCATGTTATTTTTTAACGTGGAATGGTTTTATGCTGCGAAGTAAACTTGCGTAAGATGTAGAAAGAGATGCGTTACTCGCGTTGTGACAAAAATTATGATTGTAAGGTAAAAGTATGCAGTATTATCCGTTTTTATTCTTGAAATAATGCTGTGCGTCTTGAGTAATATCAGGTTGTAGCTATTTGCTTACATGGAGATAGCATATATACGACACGGACTGTCAAGAATAGTCGCTTCGCGATACCATCTAAAATTAATGGTCAGACATACAAGGCAGACCTCAGGTTATTACATTTTTTTTTTGAAGTACAAACTCATTCATAATTGTATCCGAAGTCATTGATCATCAGATATTACTCAGGGCTTCTTGATTGATCTCTTAGTTCTTCTATGTAATTCTTTTCTGTGATTCTTGATATTGTGCAAAAATTATGTTATAATTATCAATTATTCAATTCATTGAATCTACTTAACATCGAATTAAAATATTTATCATAGTTCAGCAGTCGGGAGAATGAAATGTTGTACCTATGCTCTATTATGATTCATTGCTTATGGAAAATTTCTCATCTGTTTTTTTTAATTTCGTAGTAAGTTTGAAATCAAGTTATAAAATGAACGTAATAAAGTGAGAGGTATGAAACAATTCAAAAAATCGCTTGTTTCAGGAAGCCCTGCACATGCATCTTTGTCCTCGGAAAAGGCAACTTCAAAGCTTTCGAAAACAGAAATAGCAGGTTCGACTTTTACTGAGGCCGAAAATATTGATGCTTCTTCGAATTCAGAAAATGTACAAAGCTTAGGTCAAAGCGAATCGTCAAGAAACTCAACTATCTCACAGATACCCGTAGAACCAGGGAAAGCTTCACCTCTTCCACCATGTGATGGAGAGAGAGTGGTGTCCGAACGTGTTCTTCGCTTGGCAAATGAAATAACCAACTTAACAATTTTTGAAGTAGCGGAGTTAAATTCTACTCTGAAAAAGAAATTAAATCTACCTGATACACCAGTATTTGCTTCACATCTTACAACCTCAATACCCGCTACTGTTGAAGGTAATCCTAAAATACTTATTTAAGAAAAACTGTAAAAATGAAACTTTATTTAAGAAAAACTGTAAAAATGAAACTCAAGAAGCTCAGTTTTAATAATATTTTTAAATGAGATGAATGAATTAAAGTTTGCAATAAATATCTGACTTCAGATGGAAGTGGAATGGAAAAAAATGAACCTCAGCAATCGCAAAAAACATTTTTTTCTGTAAAGTTAACAAAATTAGATGATTCGAAAAAAATTCCCCTTATCAAAGAAATTCGTACGATTATGGAAGGTTTCAATTTGGTGCAAGCAAAGAAGTTTGTAGAAGCGTTACCTGCAACCGTAAAAGACGATTTAAGTAAAAGTGAGGCTGAAGAATTAAAGGCAAAACTTGAAAAATTGGGTGCTGTTTGTGAAATTGTTTGAACCTTCCATTTGTTTTCCAAGAGTAAATGATCAAATGAAATATTTTTCTCGAGAAGTTATCCAGTAATTGGTGTTTTAGAAAAACCACCCATCTGTCTTTAGCGATATATTTACTTAATTCTTGTTATACATTATAGAGTCATACACTCGTGTTGTACCTTGTTAGAAGTTCATAGTTTGTGATGAAACTTATTTTCGACAATGCCACATATCACCTTTCAAATAATAAAGTTTACTGCTCCACAGCTTAAATTCCATCTGAACTTTCATGCCAAAATTGGTAGTGATTTTGATTCCGTTTTCGTTTGAAACTCTAACAGATTATGTTTTGTACTTGATTTATTTTTCTTGGTGCACGTTGTTTGTTACGTCTACTAAATAGATGCTGTCAACTTTTAATCACATTTCGCTATTAAAAAGTTTTTAATTTTTTGCATGTTGTATTCGAATATATTGTCAATTCGTAAATAAATATATCAGTGTTTATTTTAACTTCACTGAAGGTAAGTACTTTTGGGGTTTTTGTAAACTAGCATTAGTTATTGGTTGTACCCTCCGTAATCTTATTCGGATTGAATTCATTTAATTTATCGTGTTAAATTCAAGTTTAGAATTCTTAAATAATTTGAATTTCTGGGAAGATACTGTTTATTATGGTTCAGTTTCTATGGAGTATTGAAGTATTTTAAGTTGGTTTGCTATTTTTCAGTGCAAGTGAAAATTTGATCTTTTTATTTCGGAATATTTCACATAAGGGATATTTGACTTGAGAAGCGTTGGGTTAGTTTTTTTGTATGTTTTATTTTTATTTTTTGCAGTGAGATAAGGTTTGATTTGCAATAGATTTACTGACTTGAAGCTAGTTGATGCTGGTTTAAAGAAACAAGATGGCTCGTGGCCACCAGAAGTTTCAATCTCAACAAAAGAATTTGAAAAAGCAAGAAGAGATGAAAAAATCGAAGGGTAGTGACCAGAAGGCTGCAGCTATAAAAGCGCTTACACACAAGTGTGTTGTTTGTATGGTAAGATTCTCTTCGGTCCCATCGGTTTTCGCTGTACGTACTATGTGTTATCATCCTTAGCAGTATATTGTTTCTTCGTGAATATGTCTCTACTTATTAGCACAAGGTTGAACTAATTCAGCTTATTAGCAAAAGTATATCAAACTTTTAGGCTCTGATGCCAGACCCAAAGACCTATAAGCAACATTTCGAGTCGAAGCACCCGAAAGCTTCTCTTCCACCGGAACTAGTACAAGTCCAGTCTTGAATATTTTTGATCCTTGTAAAATGAGAAACACTTGTAACATATCAGTTTGAGTTGCTCACATTTCGCCTTTTGCATTATATATTGATTCTGAGATAATTGTCAAATACAAGCCATAAGAAGTTTTTAGTTGGTTTTACCTCTAACGATTTCTTGTTTCTGTAATAGTTTTCGCTGTGATATGGAAATAATTTTATTCCGCTATTTCTTGTGTGATATTTAAGCTATTCAATCGGATAACCTCTTCATGCAGTAAGAGCATTGCTTTGAAAGGTTTCGGATTTTGTACCTATTAAGTTTCAGTGCATGATGCACTAACGTTGCATTGCAAATACTGGTGTGAAAGAAATAAATATTTTTCATGTGTGATGATTCTTACTGCTGATAAAAAACCGCTAGTGCTAGCGGTTTTTTTTGGTTCTCGATCCAAGATATCATTCAAGAAATTTTGCGATACTTTATATATCTATTGTTCTGTGATTCATACATGGATGTGTAGTTTAACAGGATATAGCTAACTCATATCTTTCAGAAATTGGGTGGAGATTGGACATAGAGTTGGAAGAGTTCTGAGCAATCCTTTGTTCGGTTTACTTGCACTTTACTTGAGCCTTGTATAGTCTAGTTAGTTTGAGGGGTATAATTTTATGTTAATTGGGTATTTCAGATAAGATGGAATTAATCAAATACTTTGGACAAGTTGCGATAGGGATGAGCGTATTTCTTGAACTGAATTTTTCATTTTTAGGCTGTTTACAGTCTGCAATAAAACCATACGAAAAATGACTCGTGGACATATGAAGATGCAAGCTAAGGCTAAAAATCTTAAGAAGCAAGAAGCGCTAAAAAAGTCGGTTGGGCACGATCAGAAAGGTGCATGTCTCAAATCGCTCATCTATAAATGTACTGTTTGTATGGTAAGTGATCACCTGAATTGAATCTTCAAAGCATATTTTGTCAAGAGAATTTGTTTGTCAGGCTGTTGGTAACAATTTAGGTGTTTGTGGATGAGTGTTGGATAATTTTTTTATATTTGTGAACTCTGCAAGGTTGAGAGAACGAGTATAATAGTCCTAAATGTCATTTTTGGAAGGCGTACGAACAACTCATAATTTCTTTTTATTGATGAGGATAGTTAGGTAACGCACTATTCGTTCCTTTACTTACTATTTTTGATAATAATTTAGGAAGACAGAATGGTTAAATCTTTAGTGATGTTGGAATTGTATTTTTCCACGAATGCATAAAAAATATTCGTTTCACTTGCAGACTCAGATGATGGATAAAAGGAGTTATAAAGAGCATTTTGAGTCCAAACACCCAAAAAATCCATTACCACCAGAACTTGTTGAACAGCCCGAAGGATCATAATTCGAATTTTGCACTCCATCATTCATTTCTGTAACTCGTGGTTTATTATTTTCGATTTTGCTCTTGATTTTCTTGTAAAAAATATTTCATATGCGGGGATTCAAGGATTATACGAGGTTCATGTATCTTATTCTCATTGTAGGGATACTCTGAATCATATGACTCACAATGGCCTTGTTAGAATGGCCCCATATTTCTAAATGCAGTATAATTTCTGAATAAATTATTTTCAGAAAAAGAGTTCTCGAATTAATTGCTTATTTTTTGTTACTAGAACTAGATTTTCTTTATATATTTACTCACATGCGTTTGAAGCAAATTTTACAAGATAAATGTTCTTTGTCCTTGTTTTCGTGTGATGATTGTATTGCTGTTACATTGTGTACTTAATATGAAAATGGTTATTATTTTCATATATAGGTCATCCTGTAGCTAATAATTGTAGGGATTCTCTTTAAAATATATTTTACAGCACTGGAATATAAGTTTTTCAGATGTGGAAAAGAAATATCTCGTACAATGTTTACTTCATATAATTGGTAGTATAAGTCTACTATTTTCTCGCTTCGGAATTCACTACATTACGTAACTTGTTTTGTAGAGTGCGTAAATTTTAAAAGCCTTTATTTATAATGAGTAATTTTCAAAAAGTCGTGTAAGTCTTGAGATTCATAATATATGTGGAAAAAATAAAAATATTTTAATGAAAGTGTTTCTTTTTAGTAACAGTCCCATTTTTGTAGTGAAGTCACAGTATTATAGGGTAGGTGGGTGAGGATGAAGATAGGGAAATATGTACAGATTTCCTAGTCGAACTTATATCCTGGTCTTGCTTTACGGCATAGAACCATTTGAGTTTGCACGGTCGGTCCCACTAGGACATTCTCCTTTCCTCCGAAAGCGGAGGATGCTTTTTCGTTACGAATATCAGCCTAGAATTCATGCAGTTAGTGTAATTGAACTTAAAGATCTGACTTTTTGTAATAGCATAATTTGTTTCAAAATGCACTGCATAACATAGCAAAGAATATTCGGAAAAATTTCGGCTTGTTTCTTGTATTTGCTGCATTTGTATTTTATGAAGTCTATGAATTTAGATGCAGAACTTTTAGAATGTGAAGTTATCAAAATTTTTTGAATTCTCTTTCTTGAACTAATGTTTGAATGGATCAACTTACTTTTCCAAGAATCTGTTTGCCATTGAATGTGCATACACAAGGTGAAATAATGCCCTTACGATCAACATATACAGGGAACCATTCCTTTTCACCAAATGATGAACAAACCGAGAATGGTTGCCAACTATAGTCGTAACCTCTAATGAAATCAGGTAATTCTACCAGGATTTGCAGTGAGCCTACGTTGTCCCGATATTCATTATTATTCCAACCGAAACAAGCTGCTATCTAAAAGTTTAGGATAGTTAAGTGTTAACATTTAATAGAATATTAGTAACTTTTCACAATAATCTGAGTATAGTTTTTTGTTTTGAAATGGAAATTTGTGGAAAGTTTATAGGAAATTGTACGAATTTTGCTATTAACCTTGCCATTGTTGTTCCAGATTCGACCCATGACAGGTTCACCTTGTTGATACCATAACGCTACGTATTGTGCTGGATTCTCGCCTGGTATTGTGTCGAGATTCTTGTCTAAAGCCTTAAGAAGCTTCTTATCTGATGGCCATGGATCACCGGCACGAAGGTCGATCCATTCATCAAGCATAACACGTGGTGGTGGAGGTCCTGGTGGTGGTGTTGGTGGGGGTGCTCGATAGCATTTTTTACAAGCACATGTTGGTGGACCGCCTCTTGTATTTCGAACTATAATCCACATGTTACCCAGTGGTGGTCCCTGCATTGATACCGATTTTCCTTGGAATGAAAAATGTGCCTAGAATAGTTATTTAATTGAAGCTTCCATATTGGTTTATAAGTATATCGGCATGTTCATGATATATTTAGATTCTTTGTGATTTAAAAAAATAGGTTTTAGTACTCATAATCATTTCACTCAATTTAAAATGTAGTACTGTTTCAGTACCGTACCAGCTCCGTTTTGTTATCGAGATAACCAAGAAGCGCTCCTTCAGGTCGGTCTTTCCATAAGATCGGCATTGAGTCACCGCAGTGTACGGTTTGGCGAATTTCAGTTTTCTCAAAGCGATCTTTGTATCTGATCCATTCATACCAAAATCCCAGTGTGTTGTGGTCTCCCTTGTATTGAAGTACCTGGAGCAGTTCGTTGTAAATCTCATAAAATTCACAAGCACCAGAGATTATAATTTTTAATGTCGAAGTGTATGCTGATGAAATCAGTTTGCTGATGGGAACTGTAACGATTGGTAATTATGGTTGCATTATAGTGATTCAGAGTTGTCATTTGTTATTTGATTCTTCATAGCTTGTAGTATATTTATTTCTGAAATTGTGAGTAGAGAAATGCCTTGAATCACTTTTGATTATGAAGGTTTATCATAACATTTCACCGGTGATACCGTATTTGTATGTCTTTGAATCTTTTCAAATTTATTGTTAACATCAAAAGTATTAAAATTTGCATTTTTATTACAGTGTTATTTCATCCCTTTAATGGTTTTTAAGGTTATAAGTGATTGCTCTGGAAAAATTAGGATTCATGTGGAAAAATGTAATGGAATTAACATTCCTTGTAATTCTTTAATTTACTAATTTTAATGTTTCATATATATGTGTCTTCTTGCTTACTCTAGTGGTATTGGTTGGCATGAATTCTGAATATTCAAAGGCTCCAAAATTATCTTGAATAGTGTGTTCTCATGAATAACTTGTCTAAAATGAACCTGAATCTGGCCACCAAGGTCTTTGGTGCCTGATAACTCCGCATTTTTGTATGGGAATGAACATTCCAATACACCACCATTATTCCATGCTCGGCCATGTATAGGTACACCATATTTGTACCATAATGCCACATACATATTTGCCTCGCCCATTACTCGAACTGGATTGTCAGGAAACGGTGACCCAATCGGACCAAATGCCCATTGATCCTCTTTTGGTGGCGGATTTGACATCCCGGCCGCTTTAGTATCAAGATGTTGGATAAATATGATGACTTTATATCATAGTTTCATTTTATAGTCATCTTTCTAAGATGTGCGAGATTTATGCAAATAGGACTTTGGTTAGGGAAATTTATTTTGCAAATTTATTTTCAGTGCTAATGGTGAGTGGTGGATTGGAAGGTGAAGCTTCAGTTGCAGAAGCGATTTTCTCTTCAGGGTGAGCAATTTTTACTTCCATCATATTACATGTTACCAATGTAAAAAGATTGAAAGTAACATGCATTATTCGTCTATGAAAGTGTAGATAACTAGTTTTTTATAATAGATTTCAGTTTTTAGTACAGTGTAAATTTTATTAAGATTGTTATGATATGGTATAAAAATAAATGGTACTTGTATACATTTTTCAGTTTCAAAGGTTTTCCACTGGAAAAATGGGATGAAATTCATAAAGCTGGTATTGATGACTTGCGGTTTTGTAAGCTTGTTGAATGGTTATGCAATGAGATATCAGTATTGTATGGCTTAGATGAGACCGTTCATGCACCCACTGGACCTGATGATATGGAATTTTTCTTATTGGAGCTTAGTTCATTATTATCTGAATTAGGTAAATAAATGTGAACTTTTTAGCAAATGATTTCAGAGTAATTCATCTTAATATTTTTTTATTCATAACAAATAGAAGATTTGATTGCATTTTGTATGAAATGGTTGATTTGTGTTTCTTACCACAGCATCGTCGTCAATAAAAATATGACTCTATGTGTAAAGATTACTTCTCGGAAACTGAATGTTATATGTAAGTTTAAGAATGCCCAGTAGTTTCGCTCACTTCTGGACCTGTTATGAAGAGATTTAAGCCAGTTGAAAATGTGTCGAAGTTGCTTAATTTTCTTATTGGACACATGAAATGCGCGAGATTGACTGCATTAAATCGACTGCAGGAAAAATCACAAGTGGTATGTTTGACTTTATGTCAGAATGTTTTTTTTAAATCCTTGATAGATTCATTTCTTTTCTAATTTCAACAAAATACTTTATTTGATTTCAGGAATGTTAGTCTTTAACATACTATTTTTTATTTCACTTAGAATTTTCAAATGCGGTTATCATCAATATTTCTTATGCTACTTTAATTTTGTTATGAAATAAAAAGAGTTTTGTAGCACAAGACGGATGAAGTACGTCTTCTAGAAAATGCAATGGCTACGGTTGGTATGAATGAACTGCCTGCTAATCTCACTGCTGAAAACGCTATTCTATCATTGAAGGATTTTGTTAGATTTTTGAAATCAAATCTCTGTATATACATAGATCTTGATGGATCTTTTAATTTCAGATTGATTAACAATTTTTCCTTTAAAGAGAGAAATATGATATTTGACGAAAATTTACTTACAAAGTTTATTTTTTTATCTCAAGGCTGAAAAACAGTTGGCAAAATGTAAAGAAAAACCGCAGCCATTATTCACTGCTTCATTAACTAATGCTCAGTGGAAGAAGATTGAAAATTTGAACGAAAAGCTGATTCATGAATATCGAGCTCGTATTATGCTACTGCTCAAGCGTTTAGATGTGACAATTCAGTCGTTTACGTGGTCCGATCGAGTCCGGAAAATGCAAGTAATTATTGGTTTCTGATTCACATTTTTTATTCTGTCAAGCTTTTAGATTCCACGTTTTGAATATGTATTGATTATATGTTGCAAATTTATTTTACAATAAAATGTAGATGAAATCGATTTCAAGAATTTTTTATAAGATTTCAAAGAGAAAAACCAGTTAATTAATCAGTATTTGTAAGATTAATAGTGTATTTAAGTTTTTTCTGTCTCATTTTCAAGGACCAAGTTCATGAACTCTATCGTCCTCGGCGCGATGCTATTGTAGCTGCATCTGATGTAGAAATGCATGATTTACTGTCAGCAAACAGATCTCTTTTAATAGTTGATAAAGTAAATAGTGAAAAAGAAAGAAAGCGGACCGCTACACGCCTAAATAAAGTGAGGTGTTTTGTCATTTTTGAGCTGCAGTTGCCTTTGCAATTTTTTTCTGAATTTTTTTAAAATTTACTATTATATATTATTCTGTTTTTTATTCGAAGCAGTCTTATATTAATCAAAAAATGTTTGATATTTTGTGAAGATTTTTGCACCACCAATTCACTGTTAGATTGGCATGAATTATTTGTAATCGGGAACAGAAGTTATTTGCTCATTTTTTGAAGTTTTCTATTGCAATGATATAGATAAATTTTAATCCTAAAAAAGTGATTTGAAAATTTAATGTTTCTGAAATTCTGGAAGCCATGCTTTATTAGGTGTTGATGGCTGATCGTCCAGGTGATCGAGGAGGGAGACCTTCGGAATTGCGACCTCCTCCACCAGAAATGCCTCCTTGGATGAAAGATCGTGCTCCAAGTCACGGGGGTAAGGTTTCGGCTTTACGTGGATGGAATTTTTTCTCTATTTGACTGGAAGCGAAATTTAGCGTCGAAAAAAA